GACAAGGACTTAAACTTTAGTTCTCACATACAAAACACATAACCCCAAAAAGTATCTAAAACTTTTGGAATACTCTAAGAAATCAGATATTATGTTCCCCACTCTGCTCTTCTTACATATATACTTCTAGTTAATCGTATCTATTATCTATCTATATATATATATATATATATATATATATATATATATATATATATATATATATATATATATATATATATATATATATATATATCAGTAATCATCTCCAACTTCTTATCCTTATTATTAATTAATTAAATAATTTATCGTAAAAGTGGGACTTTGTCTCTGAAGTCAGATATAAATGAAGAAGATAGTATAATTGGCCTACTATGTAATTTTATCGCAATTCTGCTTAGCCAACGAAGACAAATGTTGTGCTTTAACTGATTGTGACTGAATATGTTAACAATGCAACTGGTTTGTTATTATTTACTAATATCTGAAGAAAGTTCAGCAGCTGAGCCAGGTAGATGCACCGTACAGTCCAATCTACGTACCATAGTCCAATCTACGCACCGTACAGTCCAATCTACGCACCGTACAGTCCAATCTACGCACCGTACAGTCCAATCTACGCACCGTACAGTCCAATCTACGCACCGTACAGTTCAATCTACGCACCGTACAGTCCAATCTACGCACCGTACAGTTCAATCTACGCACCGTACAGTCCAATCTACGCACCGTACAGTTCAATCTACGCACCGTACAGTCCAATCTACGCACCGTACAGTTCAATCTACGCACCGTACAGTCCAATCTGTATCCCACTGCATGGCAACAAGGCGGTGCATGACTGGATACTTGCATTGGCCTAATATAAGTTAACTAGGCTAAACTAACTTCAGTTGTAAATAAACTCTTTATGTATATGCTAACAAATATTGTATTCATTGCGTGTAACTTTCCAACAGCAGTTCACAACATGGGTATAATAGATCCCATATATTGTGAGTATAATAGATATTCACAGCATGGGTATAATAGAGCCGTTATGTTGTGATCCCAGTGGCTCACAACATGGGTATAAAGATTCTATATGTTGTCACCCTGGCGGCTCACAATATGGGTATAATAGACCCATGTTGTGATCCCAGCGGCTCACAACATGGGTATAATAGATCCCATGTTGTGATCCTGGCGGCTCACAACATGGGTATAACAAATCCCATGTTGTGATCCCAGCGGCTCACAACATGGGTATAACAGATCCCATGTTGTGATCCTGGCGGCTCACAACATGGGTATAACAAATCCCATGTTGTGATCCCAGCGGCTCACAACATGGGTATAATAGATCCCATGTTGTGATCCCAGCGGCTCACAACATGGGTATAATAGATCCCATGTTGTGATCCCAGCGGCTCACAACATGGGTATAATAGATAAACAGTAGATCACGTACAACATTATAATGCTGATGCTTTACCGTGCATGAGCTAAATAAAATTACTGTTTAATATTTCCTTTGAGTTACCAAACAGATAATTAGTTAATGCTTAATTAAAACACATCACTGTTTCCGCCCGGGATCGAACCGGGGACCTTGCGCGTGTGAGGCGCACGTGATAACCACTACACTACGGAAACTTGTATGACTAACGGAACATTTCAAAACCTTTTAAAATATATATAATTGAACAAATGATATTGTATCAGGTGACAGTCAGCTAGTTGATATAATTTATTTATTTATTTTATTTATTTATGCATATACAAGAAGGTACATTGGGAATGTGAGGATACATAATATGGTAATTACAGACTTGTAAAGCCACTAGTACGCGCAGCGTTTCGGGCAGTATTACTAATAATACTATTAGTAATTAATAATTTATTGTGTCGGGGGACAGGAAGCCAGAGTGTAGTCATACACGTTAGGCTGTGTCGTCCTGAGTACCTACTTACTGCTAGGTGAACAGATGAACTATTGTATCCCTCAACAATATATTTCATTGTGTCGGGGGACAGGCAGCCAGTTTATACATGCAGAATATGCTAGGCTTATATGGAGGTCCCCCAGGCTGGTATTATTGACCCTCCCCAGGATGCTTCTCCACTAAGCAGAGTGGCGCAGTGGAAGCGTGCTGGGCCCATAACCCAGAGGTCCGTAGATCGAAACTACGCTCTGCTAGCCCTAGTTTTCTTTACATATTGTTTTTACTTATTTTATATATATGCTACATAAAATAGAGCTCGAGAAGCTCAGGAATCTGTACACTAGTAGGGTGACGGTTGAGAGGCGGGACCAAAGAGCCAAAGCTCAACCCCCGCAAGCACAACTTGATGAGTACATGTGTGTATGTATGTTTTACTATTCACTTTAGTTTACTATTTACAATTAACGGTCGAGCAGAGTGGCGCAGTGGAAGCGTGCTGGGCCCATAACCCAGAGGTCCGTAGATCGAAACTACGCTCTGCTAGCTACAATTTTATACTGCTTCAAATGCAGATATGATAAGAGCCCGCTAAACTCAGGAATCTGTATACCCGTTGATTGACAGTTTAGAGGCGGGACCAAAGAGCCAGAGCTCAACCCCCGCAAGCACAACTAGGTGAGTACAACTAGGTGAATACAATCTAACTAACTCCTGGGTATCTATTTACTGCTATGTGAACTGATGCAATAGATGATAGGAAATGCGCCCAACCATTTCTGTCTCGCCCGGGATTCGAACCCGGAATTCCCGATTGTGAATCTAGAACGATTCTATATTAGGAGTCCAGGCCCTGTTCAGACCCAGTACTCTCAGCGCAGTCGATTCACAACCGAAAGGTCCCAAGTTCGATTCCTGCGACAGGACATGCAGCAGTACATATATACCTTACAAAGGCATACTTCCTTGCCCCTGTTCACCTAGCGAAATAAAGTGGGGGCCAGGAGAAGTCGGGGAAGGGGGAAGAGGAAAGTATTTGAGTTAGAGAGAAAAGTGCCACCAGGGCTTGACACAGCTGACACTTGGGGTCCCACTAGCTGGGCATCCCAAGTGCATTTGCCAGTCTTCTGATCTATGGTCAGAAAACTGGCAAACGCTTTTTAATATCGAAAAAAATGTAAGACCCTGCATGTGGGGCAACAACCCCGAGATGCAGTGAATTATAACAACCCACGTCACAACTACCAAATTAACAACATTACCTTGGAGCAGTGATGAAGTGAGGGACTTGGAAGTGGAAATCTTTCACTCACTGAAAGTTGCACAACAAGTGGGAGTAGAGTAAAATAAGTTAATCAAACCTTAGGAATAATCAAAAATATAGTTATTCAAATGTTATTGTACAAATCTCTGGTACAATACAAGCACCAGCACTAATACTGGTACAATACAAGCACCAGCACTAATACTGGTACAATACAAGCACCAGCACTAATACTGGTACAATACAAGCACCAGCACTAATACTGGTACAATACAAGCACCAGCACTAATACTGGTACAATACAAGCACCAGCACTAATACTGGTACAATACAAGCACCAGCACTAATACTGGTACAATACAAGCACCAGCACTAATACTGGTACAATACAAGCACCAGCACTAATACTGGTACAATACAAGCACCAGCACTAATACTGGTACAATACAAGCAGCAGTCTCTGGTGCTCCCCCACTTATTGTATCCAAACATGGAGACCTCATCTTCAGGCAGACATAACTGCAGTGGAAAATAGTTAACTATACCATAGGATATAGGAAACTCTTATACCAGGACAGGTTGAGTTGCCTTAGGACTAACAACACTGCAAACCATACATGATAGGGCTGATCTCATCAACACTTTTTAAAATACTGAACATTTTGGAGGATGTTGATCCGGACAAATTCTTCAAAAGGCCAGATGTAACACAAAAAAGGAGCAGCAGCTTGAAGCTGAAGAAGCCACAATGTAGGGCTAAACAGATAGATGCTTTATCACCCACAGGTGTATAAACCCACGGAACCGCCTACCCGCCGAAGCCGTAACTACCAAAACACTGCTGAACTTTAAAACCCAGTTGGAAAAAATCATTAGGACAAATTGGGGGACCTTTGACAACCTGCCGGTTTCCTGTCCCCGTCGAGGCCACCAGTGTTAGTTGCCCTCAGGTAAATTCAGGAATTTTGGAGTTCATTTCCTAAGGCATATAATTTAATATATATATATGTCGTACCTAGTAGCCAGAACGCACTTCTCAGCCTACTATGCAAGGCCCGATTTGCCTAATAAGCCAAGTTTTCATGAATTAATTGTTATTCAACTACCTAACCTACCTAACCTAACCTAACCTAACTTTTTCGGCTACCTAACCTAACCTAACCTATAAAGATAGCTTAGGTTAGGTTAGGTAGGGTTGGTTAGGTTCGGTCATATATCTACGTTAATTTTAACTAAAATAAAAAAAATTGACCTCATACATAATGAAATGGGTAGCTTTATCATTTCATAAGAAAAAAATTAGAGAAAATATATTAAATCAGAAAAACTTGGCTTAATAGACAAATCGGGCCTTGCATAGTAGGCTGAGAAGTGCGTTCTGGCTACTAGGTACGACATATATATATATATATATATATATATATATATATATATATACACACACACCATAGGATAGGTACACCACCTCTGGTGCAAGTGTAGGGACCCATAGCCTCGGAGAAGAAAATAAGGAGTATTCAGAGAAGATCTTGTGGATTCTCACTGAATACTTTAATATTTTCTTCTACCACCCCTATTTTTTTTTTGTTAAGTTGATTACATTGTGTTACAGTTTACAGAAAACACATATAACAATCAGTGTTCGCAGACGTCATCCAGGTCTTCAGAGGTGGGATGTGTGCCCCAAGATACAGCAAACATTCCCTCTCTGGACCGCGACACTGAGGCGCTGCAACAGGAAACTGGCCGCTCTTGAGTCTCTAGTTTGCCTAAGGAGGAACTTGAGGAACTTATATATACATAAATATGTGTATTCATCTAACCTTTTCACTTACCTCTCACCGCTGGGTACTGGGGGTCATAATACATTGGAGTAAATCAGTCGTGATTGGCACCATTACTGTGGTTGGCACCAAAGTGTTGGCACAGCAGGCGGCTGGTGCCATCACCTCTCAAGAGATGGCGCTGACAAGTACTATCAACATATAATCAACAATACTAATGGTTTCTACAAAAGTAAAACTGAAATATAGAATAATAATAGTTTAAACCATGTATATGAAATACACTGTGGATAATATGTGATACTCGGTTAGTGAGGTTAAGCACCATTGGGTCTGGCTAGTGCCCGGATAAAATACGAGGCCAAAAAGGTCGTCAGAATCAAGCATATGACGTCACATCTCGTACAATGTATAAATATAAAACACTAAAATGTATATTATATTTTTATTAGGTTAGGATAGATTACATTATTTAAGATGAGTTTAGGTTATGTTAGAGAGCTTATTGTAGGACAGGTTAGAACTGGCTGCTTTATATGGTAGCGATGACGTAGTAACCACGTATTTTGGTCCTTTTTGAAGTGTTGGTGAGTGTTGTGGCTGAGCCGGGAAGATGGGGAGCGAGGGACCGTCCACCACCTTCAACAAGTTCATGAACGCCGTCAATGATGCCATAGACACACCCGTGACGTGGTTCAGAGGTTGGTAGGGGGCCACTGTGGTGATGGGGGCACTGGTGGGCTACTCACCACCGCTCCCACACCTCTGACGCTACTAATTCATAGTTCTCTACCTCTTTGCAAGTCAATGGAGAAAATTCACATAAAAGATTTTTTAAAGGTGACCCATGGTTTATATTAGCTGTGTGAAGCATGGTGTATGGCTTGGGCGTTCTACACAACTGCAAAAAGTACTTTTTTGTTTTAATTTAGAATATATGAACGAAATGACTAGTTTGCTAATAAACAATTGTGTATTATTCACAATTGGTTATTCAGGATGATACAAATCACATCGTACACAAGATGATTCGCTGCCAGATTTTGAAACCTACCTAATCTAACTTTAGCCAACCCAACTGAACCCAAAACTACCTAACCCAGTAAAGCTCAATACAGCCTAAACTGAGCTAATACAACCTAGCATAGCAATATATACTCTTTAACACACAGAAAACAAGCTTCGGCAAACTGTCTTGTGTCCGCCACGAGCATACCCTATTATGGGTTATGGTCGTGCTTCCATGTGTATATTAACACTACTGTGCCTCTGAACGTTGCTAATCTTATGAATTTTCTTCCAGATTCAATAGTGGTGAAAAATCGCCCCGAGTACCACTGGTACCACCGTCAGTTTCGTCGTGTCCCTACCATAGATGAATGCTACACTGATGACATTGTTTGCTTTATTGAGGCAAATGAGCAGTTCAAGCGTGACAGGTAAAATACAGCGTGCTGATGTTTGAATGGCTGTGTAGTATGGTTATAATATGCTGAAGATCATGGGTACCAACTGGAATTTAGTAAACAAATCAGTTTTTCCAAATCTCCTGAATCGGTTTTCAGCTCCAGAAATTTGTCTTGACAATCATCAGGAAGTTTTTCAACTGACAATTTAAATGGATTACAAACTAAATCCAACTCTTCATCACTGAGTTCAGGGAAATAGTGGCTAATTTTTTTTTTCTCTCCAATGCTTCCAAATGCTGCAAAATTTCATTTCTTTCAAATTCTGGAAGAACGTGTTCTTCACCATCACCATCAAGAATTGATGAGTTTCTCAAACATTGCAACATTTTTTATCTTTACCTTTCTCTTCCAGTTTATGAGCTTGCTCATGAAAGCTTTCAAGGCATCTGTGAATTTTATGTTTGTATTCTTTCCTTGCATGTGTAGATTCAGTATATTCAGCTGCTCAAAAATGTCAACTATATAGACAAGGCATATGATCCATTCCTCATCATCCAGCCAGGCTGAAAATTCCACTTTACCCTGAACTTCAAAATATAATTTGAGCTCATCTCTAAGCTCAAATACTTGCTTGGTTTCATTTCCTCTTGAAAGGAAATGACACTATGACAGTGTTTGAAAGCTAATGAACATTCGGATGGAAAAACAGCAGATGATGTACTGCATCCGTGTCAACATAACTCCCTGAAAAGTCGTGAGTTAAGAGCTTCCCTTTCACAAAATTCACAATTTGAATTGTTTTATCTAAACCCTTCCATAATGAAACTACCAGTGTTTTTGAGACCAGTGCCTGACGATGAATCATATAGTGAATATCTTTCACTTTTGAAGCTCTCTCTTTCACACAAACCCCCCTACCATAAGCACGTCAAGTAATCGTCTTTCTGGGGTTCTTTCTCTTAACAGGTTTAATACCACCGCTTTGTCAGGGGTGATGTGTTTCAAGAAAACTTTGCACTCCTCACTCCCCATTTGACACAATTTCTTTTATTAGAGAACTAGATTTAGACATACCAAACTTGGTAGCAAGAACAGATAGTTAAGAGACCACTTTCATATTTTGATTTGTTTTTTTATCTGTTGTGGTTTTAACTAATTTTCTTTTTTGTTTGACTCTTATCACTAACATTTTTAGGTTCCATGGTGACTTACATGGTTTAGTGGGGTTCATGTACTGAATGATGCTAATGGGAAACTGACTTGTTTGTGTGTGTTTACGTGTGAGTGCTGAGCAAAGGATTGATTACCGAGCACAGACAGTGTTGGTGCCGAATTGTTAGGTTCGGTGCCATTCAAGTACCGAGGCTCTCCTGTATAACTTCACTTAAGGTGAAATAGCATGGCAAAGTTTGTTTTTGAAAATTATGAAACATTACCTATCAGACAACATTTTGCAATCAACACTGTATTTTGCGACCTAAATATCATTAAAAAAAGAGATGCAACCAATATTAAAGAAGTTGCCATTCATGTTCTAATTTTTGCCACAGTGGGTAAATTTTACTAAGCAAACTTTTAGCTTCAGTCTGTCATGATGGACATTACCAGGAGAACCTGAGTGTAGACACTTCACCCTCATCCCAAGTATTTCCTAGGTTACATCCCCTAAAACATATTTTTCAAAGATAAGGCCATGACCACCTATATGAACTAGGCCCTTTGAGATATTGTTTCATAACTCTTTTTAGATTAGTTTGAACCTCCACTAACTTAAACTAAGCAATGAAAGTTAGTGGAGGTTCAAGATAAGGCCATGACCACCCATATGAACTTGGCCCTTTGAGATATGGTTTCTTAACTATTTTTAGATTAGCTTGTACCTCCACTAACTTTCACTAAGCAATGAAAGAAACACAAAAACAGGAATTTTTTTATAAAAATTATATGCTAGAAATTACTTCACCTAATTATCTAGGTTTCATCGTGGCCTCTTCTAGAATCCAGATTAATTTTCAGGCAAATACGAAACTTGGAAGGAGTGATCTGGTGGGCAGATTTGGTCTGTTATTTAGAAGGCTCTTGTTATACAAGGCCTGGATTTTCAAGAGCACTCGACTATGGTTTGTTGTAAAGCAACTTTGGGTATCTAGATAACATTTATAGGTATCTAATGAATAATTAGAGCATCCAAAATTATATTGTAGTATTTTCTTCTATTTGTAAAATATTTGTATATTTTCAGAATGGTAGACAATGAAGTGTTAAATATCTTGCGTATGCGCGCAGAGGACTGCGTAACATATGAAGGGGCAGACCATAGACGCAAGTGTGCAGGTATCATGGAAGAATACAACAAAGCTGCCGAGAACTGGTTCATCAAATGTAAGGCTCGTTAATGAGTTTAATGCATTTGTTAAATATTTAGCAACTAAGTTCTGCATACTAACTCTTTGGTGGGCAAATACTGTACTATACTTATAAAGCAGTACATAGGAATACATTATCATTCCTACCAAAGTCATCCAAAATATTTGATAATCTTAATACAGTACAGATTGTTTGAAATATATAGTACTGTATGATGAGTTAATTTGTTGCATAATGTATTTCATTTGACCTGGTAGCATATCTTTCATAATATAAAGTCCACTTTGTCAGGAACAGGGAAGCCTGTGTATATATAAATTGTCATCCACACCTCCATGGAAATAAACATTCCATTCACTTGGGCTGTGTATATATACTTTTAAGTTTGTATTGAGCCCCATCCTTTCCAAGTAAACTACTGACCCTTCCCAGGATGCAACCTCACAACACTTGCTTAACTCCCAGTTACCTATTTTCTGTTAATTGAACAGAGTCATTAGTTGGAAGCAAATGTTCCCAATCATTTCTAGAAAATATTGCTAAAACATTTTTGATCCGCTTGGCATTGCCTACAGTAGCAAATTACAATTGAAGGCGATCTAGTGTGTCCTAGCTCTGCATGTAGCTATCTCGGCAAGAAAGCTACACGAAGCCAACGGGGCTCTACCGGAGGCTCCCTGTTGCTATCACGGCGAGAAAGCTACACTGAGCTACCGGGGGCTCTACCAGAAAGAGGCATTTCATTATATTCAGTGCTGGATTTTTGCTCTCGTACAGTATTGACATCCGTAATGATGGTTACAACATGACTGTTTTTCGACATGATGCTAAATATAAATAATCTTCCAGGCTTGGTGCCTTCTTTTGATAATTAAGCAACATACCTACTCAGACCTTTCATCTTAAATTGCCAAGTCCACTTGCTGATAATAATGTATTAGCAACATACTACATAATGTGTAGTTCTCATTTATTATAGCAATGTTTACTACCAGAAGTATAAGCTCAAAATGTACTTTTAGTATTAGCATAAAATTCTGCATGTAAGAAGTGAACAACATATCTGTTTAGTGTTGAGACTTGCCTGAGACAGTGTATGTACTAAGAGACTTGGCAATCATGCTCTTCAGTATACAGTACTTATACATCAACTTTGTGATATTCACTTACAAATATAAATGTTTTAAAAATAAATAAAAGGGTTGCAAGGTTACTAGAATTAATGTAATGCTTATGAGAGTACAACATAATTGATTGATATGGAAAAAAGCTAATTGTCCAGTCTGTTTTTAAGTGGATATTTAGTGGGATCTTGCATGTGTGTTCAGTTCATCCAAATTCTCTATACTGTACTCTATAAATGAATGAAAATTTATTTGAAATATATTTTCTCTTATTGGAAGCATATTTGAGTAAGAGACAGCACTGTGGGAGTTTATACTATAGCCTATTTTAGATTTTAAAAATTGCAAAAAGCTTCTAATTTGCTTAACTTAGAAAACCATTCCTCTCAAAACTCCATGGTCATCAGGTTGATCCATTCGTTAATAAATTTCACGCATGCTATAAAGTGTTTATATAAAAACCCATCTTTTATATCTTTCCTTTTCAGATGGCCGGTGGTGCTACATAGCCTTCCCGGTTTGGTGCCTTCTTTTGATAATTACTTACTTACTTTTCAGATGGCGACTTGGGTGTATATGGCACTGTGGTAGATGCCTACATGAAGCAAAAGCACCGCATGATATGGGAGCGCCGCCATGGACCAGTTGGTTCAGGCATGAAGAAGGAACTGGATTAAAAATGTCCTTGTGTATGTTCAAACTCTGATAATAACGAGGATTCCTTTTTTTTCTTTGTTCAGCATAAAAATGTTGAATATTAATTGTAGCTATTTGAAGTTGTTAATACTGAATATAATAACTACAATGGTAGTTTGGATCTTGGTTTAGACAATGTTATAACAAATTTGTGTATTGCTGAACTTTATAATTTGTGAAGCTGTCTTAAATTGTAAATAATATATAATTTATCTAGAATTTTATTTTATGATCCACAAACTACAGGAAAATTTAGCATTAAATTGCTTAAAAATTAGTTGCAAGTGTAGATGAATGATGCCCATAGGATATAGGGCATAGAGTGGAATGAAACGCTCATTTTGACACTGCCCAAGTACGAGGCTCTAGTCAGCTTTAAGTCCAAGACAGTGAATTTTGCAAATGATCTTGTTGCATAGTCCTTCCATGTCAAGTAACAAGCAAGCCCGGCGGGTTCTATTGGCTGCTTCCCTCAGTGCCTGATGGGAAAGCTATTAATTACTCTACCACCGATGTTTTTGCTGTGCATGGAGACCTCTGTATTTCCTCATTCCCCCTTCATTTGGGAGCTAAGTATACCCAACATGTGTTGCTCCTGGAGGGAAACACATGTTTTTGATGAAAGGCTTGGGATAAGATAAGGGACTCAGTGTGACAACTGAATTAATCAGTCTGGCTAGTGAACGTAGCTGGACTAGGGTCAAGTAGGCATTAGAGGGTTGGTGTCACTTATCCCTGGAGGTTGCCCAAGTGCTTATGCCTTCCCTTGTTAAGTTGTTGGGTGGAGATAAAGGAAGTACGTGCTCTCTCTTTAATACCTTGTACAGTACTGTATTTATAAACCTTCTGAGACTTCTGTGACAGAGGAGCAGTCCCATGAGTTGGATTCCACTTCTGGCCCGGTGGGTGGTGCTGAACTTTTAATCTCCAAGCGTTTTCATTTTGCGATTGCGAATGTATCTAGGAACTGATGCTTTGGGATCATCCAATGTCACTTCTGTGGTTATGCTTTTCTGACATCCCCCTCCTCCTCTAACTTTTAATGTGTATCCTATCCTCAATGTTTATATTTTGTTATTTTTTTTTTTTTTTTTGGTAATTAGGAATAATGTTCCCGTATTTATTTTTGTTTTTGAACATCCATTCCACTGCCAATTGCATACCGTCCTCTTAAAAATTTAGTCGCTTTTTGCTCGTATGCGCACTCAGGCTAAAAAGAGGACGTAATTAAAAATGAAATGACGTACGAAAGCGACGTACTGTCCCGTTTTCTGTTTTGGGTCCTCTGGCTTAGGCTGTTAGGTTAGGAGAGAAAACTTAAAATTAACAGTTTTCATGACTTTTGAAACCTTCAAATTTCCTGCCCTCCTAACCTACCAGAGGACCTTTAACTTGCTGTTTTGTAAGAAAAAAATTGATTTTCAATTGTTTTTTCATTTTCAAATTACAGCCTTTTTTGGCCGTAGCGAATATGAGCAAAAAGCGACGTAATTTGTAAGAGAACGGGTTGGACTAACTCCTGAGTACCTCTCACTGCTAGGTGAACATGTGCATTAGGTGAAAGGAAATGTGACCAACCATTTCTGTCCCGTCCGGAATTCTCGATTGTGCGTCGAGAACGAACCCGTCTATACTACTGGGAAAATTATTTTTGTAATTACTGTATAGTACAGTAGTACAGTACTATATATGTATACTAGACAAGGTTCTGGAAAAGTTACGTTTGTCGGGTTGTACAAAATTAATAGTACAAAACGTGATTTATTTTATGCAGTAGTCCATATTTTGTAGTACCATCCTTGTGTACTATTATTATTGGCCGGCAAGTTGCAAATATATACTACATGGAACAGGTAGATCACGACCCAACCTGTTCCTCTTAGATTTGCATTTTGACGTCAAAAAAAACCAACGGACAAAATATGATGCACTATAAATCATAGCTGGACAATCAATTAGGCTGGATTAGGTTTTGATATATTTGGGGTCCTGTCCGTCACACAACCTCCAATATACGACACTGAGTCACTGTACGGAGGCAGAACGGTCATCACAGCCAAAGATATGACCCTGGGTCACTGCACGGAGGCAGAACGGTCATGATAGCTCGCAAAATTTACATAATGTCCCGTTTTCTATTAGTGCGTCCTTGGTTAAGTTCGATAAATTTAGTACATCATTTTAGTAACGTTGTGAGCGTTGGAGAGGACGACGGGCCGCATCACAACTCCTGATATATGACAAGGTCACGACAGGAAGGTCATGACCGCTCAGACGAAAAGTTACAAGGTCACTACGCGGGGAAGTTGCTATAGGCGCCGTGTCGACAATTCACAGGTTCAGTAGTTTGATGCAGTTGAGTTATAATTCACTGTATCGGGGGACAGGAAGCCAGAGTGTATTCATACACGTTAAGTTTTTATCGAGGTTCTTTCCCCATAATTATCTATATTTAAAGCTAATTATGGGTTCTGCAGTTCGAAGTCATTTAAGTAATTATCAAAAGAAGGCACCAAGCCGGGAAGGCTATGTAACACCATCCAGAAGTCATTAAAGTATCTTGTGTTTCAAGTGTATTGTACCTAAAAGTAATCCTTGTGACATAAACCGTGCTTGGTTTGTGAGTGTGCGGTGATATCCGGTTATGGAGTAAGCGTTGGGAGATCGAGAGAGCCAGACGCGGCCAGTCCTCCCTCGGCTGGTGCACCAACACCAGCGTTGAACACCTCTACCCCGTCCACCACGCCGCTCTCCTTTCTCCTTAAAACTCCTCCCTGCTTGTCTCCTCTCTCTTCTCTCATCTCTTTCCTCTCGTCTTTCTAGTGTTTCTAGTCTCTTGTATGTCTTGCTCGTTTCATTTTATTCTTTCTCACATATTTTGGTCACCTGTCTTTCGTACGGCTGACAACTTTGGTCTTTCTCTCGTATCTTTATGCAGTCTCCTTCCTTATCTCTCATCGCTTACCCATCTCTCATCTCTCCCCCCACTTATCATCTCTCACTCTTCTCACACTTTCTCTCCCAAGAATTATCTCTGGCCATTTGCAGTATAGCGTCCGCCTCCCGCCTCGCACCTTTTGTCTGTAAGTACATTGAAAGTATTTTGTCGACTGGCTGTTTAAACTTGACACTAATTACGGAATACCACGTTCATCCCGCCTGCCTCACAACACGCCGTGGCTAAAAGAATGTTGATGGTCGCACGAGGCAATACGTAGAGATGAATGACACAATACTTGTCACAATAGAGGTGGTTGGGCGGCCACAATCAATACCCCTCTCACCTTCAGACCCTCTGGCACGCCATACGCCCCTCCATGGGCATGCAAGATCAAATATTTATTCAGAAATATTGTGTTCGATATGTTGTGTGGAGCTCACACCTTCCGACAAGATATGTTTCTCGTGTTGCCATGTTGGGGATAATACAATCCCACAATCGACTTGAGAATGGTCCAGGACGGACCAAAACGTCGTCGTCCCTTCATTTTCTAGTGTGTGGTCTGGTTAACATGTTGGGGATGATATACTCTTCTGTTCTTCCCCTGAGACAAAACTTCCTGTAGGATGTGTGTGGTTGTCCCGTAGGTCATGCCATTCTACAGAAGGCAGTTGGACCCATCCAGTAGCATTATCGCTATCCTATTCAATATAATATTATCGTTATTCCGTTTCTGCGTGTCATGGGGTGAGGAGGTATCAGATCAGAGGGGAAATGAACAATAGTGAAAGATGACTACATATAATAAAGAAAATATTATACAACTCTTCATTATAGTATTAACACAATATTGCATCAAAGAAAAACAAGTTCCACCACACACCAGCAGTCACCCACACCTGCACCACATCTTCATAACGCCAGGTGTACAGTGCACCACCGCACACCTGCACCACACCTACTTAAGACCAGGTGTACAGTGCACCACCACACACCTGCACCACACCTACATAAGACCGGGTGTATACTGCACCACCACACACCTGCACCACACCCGCATAAGACCGGGTGTATACTGCACCACCACACACTTGCACCACACCTACATAAGACCAGGTGTACAGTGCTCCACCACACACCTGCACCACACCTACATAAGACTAGGTGTATACTGCACCACCACACACCTACATAAGACCAGGTGTATAGTGCACCACCACACACCTGCAACCCATTACTGGAGCAGCGTGTCACATTATAATTATAATAATTCACTGTGTCGGGGACAGGGAGCCAGAGTGTATTCATACACGTTAGGCTTAGATCGATATCACTCCTCCCTCCCCCCCCCCCAGGATGCAACCCCACAACAAGCTAACTAACTCCTGGGTACCTACTTATTGCAAGGTGAACAGATGCATTAGGTGAAAGGAAATGTGCCCAACCGTTACCGTCCCGCCCGGACTTTGAACTGGGGAATCTCGAGCCTGACTGTACTACTGGGACCCTTGTAATATTACATTAGCAAGATCATTTTTCGAACAAAGAAAGTTGAATGAAAAATGAATGGGTTTTATTATGTACTTGAAATATCAATTATAATAAGTCAATTATATTAAACACTGAAACGTCAATAAATTACACAGCATTTGACATATATAATTATATAATAATAAGCTGTAACCAGGTCAAGGTGAGTCAGTCTTCGCAATAACTCTGAGGCAGAATTATTGATTTGCTCGTTTATTATTTCATTTAATTATTTATCATTTAGTGCTGGCTAAACTGAACTATGGATGCCGCATATACTCGTGGTCCTCATCCTGGAGGAGCTTTAGGCGTGTTGTGACGCGCTGCCTTGCTACTACGGCTGGGAGCCCTCTGTTTTTCAGCTATATGTAGAAGCCGGTGGGTTCCGTCCTTACCTTGCGATGCCTCCAGATGATTTCGGGGCTTAGCGTCCCCGCGGCCCGGTCCTCCCGATAATACTACTGCGATGATTATTGTCTTCAATACTTCTTTCGCACCGCAAACATACAAGGCACTGCGGGCTCACCATAGCCCGTGCTACTTGGAACTTTGTTCCAGGTAGCAAATCTTTAACAAGAACAACATTTCGCACCGCACTTTGACCTCTGCTCCTGTGAAAGTCTGGTGGGTCCTTACGGGCTATCCATCCTCGTGACATCTCTTGGGTGACTTAATCTCCATCAATCAATCAATCAATCAATCCTGTGGGTCCGGTCAGGAAGTGTACCCTCGTATGGCGCCTATGTTA